TCAGGGCTATGCGACCCTTTGAAGCTGCAGTTCCATGGGTGCCCTTGCTGGAGGCCTGGAACAAGGAAAGGGGTCACAGCGCATGCTTGAATGAAAGGAGGAAATAGAGGGATAAGAGGTGAAAGGAGGAAATAGAGGGATAAGAGGCCCGGCTTGAACCCAGGGCCCTGTTGCAGTGTGCTTCTCAGGCGTCTAGCTGGGGCGCTCAGCATCAGGGTTTGGGCCTTTCCCGCTTTCTGAACACCTTGCCTGCCTCCTGATCACCCTAATGACAACAGGGTTGATACTTTGCGCTGACTTTCAGGCCATTACAACTTCCCTATTCACAAGCGAGGAGGGCCCTGCCCTCAGGTTCGCAGCCTCCAAGCAGGGGAGGCAGACGAGCCAGACGCTGGGTTGGGGGCCACCTCTTCCTTCCGCAGCTGCCCCTTGAATAGCTTTGGGCTGGCTCTGGTGGCTCCCAGAGCTGCTGCTGGGAGGAGCTGTTTGTTTCCTGGCCTCATGACCCTCTTTCTAATCTAGGCAGGGGAGCCTGAGTGGGTTGCCTGCCTCACCTCTTCTCATGGGCCAAGCCCCGGCCAGCTTGGGTGCCTCCAGCAAACATGGTTCGAACAGCAGGTCCAAATGCCACATGATCCTTCCCGGAGGGGGAGGAAGGACAGATAAGCTGGAATTGTCATGGCTCCATCCCTGGGGGATTCAAGCTGCTTGCTGTGGGTCAGAGGATTCCTGCCCTGGGCAGAGGGCTGGACTAGAAGTCCCTCCCAACTCCAGGATTCCACCCTTCTATAACCCCTTTCCGGAGAGGGGGTGGGGAGGTCATGCAGGCCCCCCAGCTGTCTCCTGAGTTCTCCGGTCCCTTGCCTTTCCCTGCCTGCTGCAGGACTCAACCTGAGGAGGAGGAAGTGCCCAGCTGCACCCTGCCCCTGAGCACCTGCTGGGCACAGCTGTTTGCCCGGCAGAGACAGGTTGTTCTTGCCAAGACCAAGTTGCCTCTCATGCTGGCCTCCCAGAGCGGGCTTGCAGGAGCCGGTGCAGGGGGCGGGGAAAGGCCCAGCAAGATGTCCAGCCCCCATCTCCCTACTGGCTGGGATTCCGCGGCCTCAGCAGGCCAAGCCAGGCTGCCCATTGTGGGCCTGTTCCTGGTGCGCCTGTCTGTCTCCTGCCCGCTCAGTAGCTGCTGGCCTGGGTGGCAAAGCAGGGCTTCTGGGGCTCCAGCCACCACTCCGGCGTTGCACAGCAAGTCACGCAGAAGGACTCCAGCCTCTGTGGGCCCTGCGCCTCTTTGGTCTTCCTCGAAACGCCTTGGGTTATGCCAAGCTGTAAGTTCTGCAGGCAGGCCAGTCCTCTGGGCACCTCTGCCAGCCACGTGGGACCACGCTTCCCATCACCCCAGCCAGCAGGGTAGGCCATTCCCAGCAGCTCCCTACAGCCTCATATATGAAGTGAGTGGGGGGCATCCCTCCGGGCACCTGTGGGCTGGCCGCTTGCCCATCCCTGCCAGCCCCTCCACAGGAGGATTAATGGTTCTTCCTTGGGGTGACTGGACCGGCAGTAAGAACGCAGCTGGTGGGAGATCTCCAGGGCCTGCCTGCCAGCTGGCAACTGGGCCAGCCCCCCCTTCTGAGCTGAGGATCCCCGGACCTCCACCGCCGGGGCGGGGAGGAGAGATCTGCAGGAGCCCTCTTTGCCCTTTGTGGCTCGGCCGCGGCTTCTCCACGGTCCCAGGCTCTCCCGGCCGTCACCCTTCTCCACAACCCCGTGAGCGTGCGAGTGCACGTGCACCGCCAGCCGCGCGGAGGGACGGTTCTGGGCCGCGGTGTCCATCCGCCGTGGAGAC